GGGGGGGGCAGAGTGTAATCTTTAAATTTGTGCTTAGATCACTTCAAAGAACCACAGACGGGAAGAGCTTTATGCAGGAAAGTGTGAATATTTACCATTCCTTCCACTTCTTCGTTAAAGCCATCCACTGGCGCACACTCGCTGGCGTGTCCATAGCAGAAACAGTTCCCACGAACCACCATGTCGTAGATGGCATAGTAGTACTTCTCCCTGATCTCCATCCTCGAGTCCAAGAGATTATCTCCCAGCGTGTGCAGCTTGATGAATTTGACTCTCAGATTTGTGATCTTTAATAGGTCTGTAGGGGACACCAAAAAAACCCAAACTCCGTTTTGGAATCATTTACCAGCTATTGTGCCGAATGGGAGGAAGCCAGGAGTGACTTCCCAAGCACACTTTCTTGAGCAGATTAGATCAGATTTAATTTCAGCACTTACATACCTACACATCACATCACTTCATACTTCCAAATTAAAAAAAAAATACATTATTTTACTACAGGTTGATCACTGCATAAGTTAGTTTAAGCTTAATGAAAAATACTAGTCTATTTTATTGTAGACATACACAGGCACAAACACAAATATTAAAGGCACACACAACAACAGCACCACTGAAAAGACACTAGTTCTTTGGGGCTTTAAAACGTAGAATGGGCAAGGACCTGATATTAAGGAACTGCCAACAGCTGAACCAGTGTTACAAGCCTTTTGGAAAAAATCTTAGTTGGAAACAAGACACGAATAATTGTTTTCTTATACACCCAACTTTCCTAGCAAATAAAATCATCTTGCTAAAAGAAGCAACATCCCATCACTGACCAAATACAAAGGAGAAGTTCTCGAGGGATAATCCATGGGAAGACAATACTAGAGTAATTACTTCAAACTGAGAATGTGTATTAAATCAGAGGTAAAGTTTAAGGCCAAGCACTGCAGCTCCCTACTCAGGCCAAATGCCCCACGAGGTTTCTCTTTGAGCCACACTCAGCAACAGATCTCTCTACCTTTGCATTCCTGGATTGTCATGACCGTACAGGAATGCTACAGTCATTTGTGTTTTGCAACCGCAGTGCTACCAAGGCCAACCATTATAAAGTCATGACTCAGATGTTCTAAAAAATAAAACACGATCCTTTTGATTTTAGCTAGAAATGCAAAATTATGTAAGTACATATGTACTTCTGTTTCTTTGCTTTCTGAATAGTGTACAATCACGGAATCACGTTCCAAAGTTTCTCTCAGCAACTGCATGTATCTTGGGGAGAGCGGGTCTTTAACGAAAATAAATCCCTGATCAGTTAAGAAAAGGACCAACTACAATGATGCGTGTAATAGCAACCACTTGAGCTGACAACACTGATCGTTACTTCCCAGCACGTCACTGTCTGAGTCAGGAAAAGAAGCCATACTGCAAATGTATTCACATGACTACACAACTGTTATCAGGGCTAATGCGTGGCTTCACTTGTGGCTTACTGTTTATTGTAAGCAAGTAGGTACAGAAATGCTTTCAAATGAGCTTGGAAGGTAACTGCATACGTACTTTGAATCCTTGGACTGTATGGATCTTCAATTCGAAAAGCAGGATCTAAAACACGATATATTACCTGGAAGAAAAACGGTACAACAAAAGATTTGTTTTCAAAAATAAGATCATATGAATTTGTATGGAAAAAGGCTATACAATAAACACATTGGGCAAAAAAGCCCTCTGACCTCTCCCTCTGTTGAAGGTTCAATGTCAGAATATCGGGAATCACAGATGATATCATCCACTTTCTTCATAGGTCCAGTTGAAATCCCAGGAAATGAACTCTCACAGTCATATGCAAAATACCTATATACTTGCCATGTTTTTCCAAAATCAGATGATCTTTCTATTAACATTGCAGCAGGACGGAATGTCTAATAGTAAGAAAACAAGAGGTGGTTTAATTCAGCTAATTATTACTTGCATTTACATTGAATGCTTTTATGTGTGAGCAATCCGCATGTCTGGATTTTAATCTCTCTCCCTGCACTATTTCCAATATTTGGAAATACTAGAAATATTTTTCTGCCGATATCCCACATTCTGCCCAGAGGCAGGTCTTTGGAATAACACGCACCAAACCGCACGTTACCCATCTTTAAAGAGACGGCACTCAGTGGCCAAGCGCTTAAACACACTTACAATAAATAAGCAAATTTGTAAGTTTTTTTGATTCCAAATCGTTTCTCAAAACTGGGGGTTAAAGCAGGGCTTTAGGGAGACAAAAGGTTTTTTTCCACTGCTTGTGGAAAACAGCACAGCCTTCTTCCTTGCTGCACCTCCTTGCCTAATCTTCTGCAAGGGACCTAACAGGTCTCCTCTCCTGCCTTGGGGACAAGAAGCCACTTTCAGTGCTTCCCCTCCAGCTCTGACGCCCAGAAGCTGAGCAGATGCTCAGAAAAGCCCTGGGACTGTCCACCTCTCTTTGTCTGACCACACTACCTTTTGTAGTGTCTCTGCCACCCAGTGCCAGCTGTCCTCTGTGCTGCATTGAGAAAACCTTTTTCTTTAAGGAGATTGAGAGGCTCAGCTTCATCCACTCCTGCTGCATTCGACCCCCCCAGTCCCAGTGACCCTACTCCAGCCGGCCTTGCTCAGGCTCTGGCAGGCTGCATTTACTTCACACAAACCACTGACCTTCTCACCTACACATATTCAACTCCAGAACAACCAGGTAATCAGATTTTCAAAAGGTTTTTAACCCCTCTGACCTAAAAATCTCATGTTTCAATTTATGAGCTGCATTTCAAAAAGCAGATATTAATTTAACAACTGGCTTACATCTACCAAGAAACGCCAACAGTCTCTTCATCAGTTTTATGTATTCAGATGAGGCCCTCCCAGCACCAAGCACAAAAGCATTTCAGTCACCGCTGGAAAGAAATTTTCTTTCTGCTTCCTGGCTGGAAATATCACCCAACTTACAAAGCAGTATCTCACCCAACAACAAATGTAGCAACCCAGAGGTAAGGTAGCTCAAGTGTCTGCCACACAAAGTCAACAAATCATCATTAAAACTTTCTTTCTCCCCCTCCTTGTTCCTCCTGTCTGCAGACCAGGCCCAGCGGCACCAGGCACAATGGCCGCAGCACCCACATTGGGTCAGGGGTCTCCTGAGGGTCCCTCACTGCTGGGGTCCAGCAGAAAGGACCAGTTTCCACCTCAGCCAGCACCGTGGGGCAGGGGGATAAACACAAGCCAACACCACAGGAGAGAGGAACCAGCTCCCCTAGAAAGCTGACAGGTGAAAATTAAAGAGATTAATTTGTCTACATGCAAAGAGCAGGGATTTAGCCCTGCTGGAACTGCAGCTTCTGAAACCTCAGCTGAAGGTCGCCACTAGCGCTTGCCTGCGATTTAGGATGTACGGGACATAATCTGCCATTCCAAGACATCTGTTTGTAAAGAAACAAAGACACTTTGTGTACAGATGTTCCTTCTTCCTGAAGACCTTTCCATTTGCCAAATGAAAACGATACCATGGCCAATTTTTTTTTTAGGAAGAAAAATCCTTGCTACTATGTGATTTAGCAGTGATCTTCTAGAACACAGCCACCAGAGAGATGCACCAACACAAGCCCCAGCTTCAGTATGACTCCTTCTGCAGCCTCACCGGAGTTCAAACACCACTCAAGCCACAAGTCAGACAGCTCTGAAAAATGAGGGAAAACAGCTCAGACAAAGCCGAAATCCCACATATCAAAGAGTTGTGAAGGACTATGAGATCTCTTACTTCCTTGTGTTTTGGGGGTTCGGGGTAAGGCTGTGGCTTCCTTACCTTGAAGGTCATGATGAGATGAGTGAAATGAAACTCGGCCTCCAGGTTCAGCTGGATAGTCACATTTTCCAAACCTGCAGGAGCAGAGAAAAGAAGCTGTGCAGCCAACAAGGACACCCTTCAGCCTCTACACCTGAATTTCGCCAAAGCTCTTTGCTTCAGTGATGCAGGGACTCTTCTTCGCCGCTTGGCTCTGTTGTTATAAATGGATATGAGGGTTAAGCCCATTACTGAGGTACGGGGGAGACACCAAGGACCTGCTGAAGAGCGTATCGCATGTGGGATTCCCGTGCATCATCTGCACCAAACACGTTACACTCAAAGCGTGAGCCTGCACCGCCATTACTTCAGACTGCGGAACACAGCTACCGTCACCAGATGCAGGGTAAGGACGGGGACTGCTACGGGCTGGATCCCGGCACCGAAGCGCCCAGTGGCTGGTACGGCTTGGGGTGCTGAGCCCAGGCCTGTGTGGTGGCCCCAGGCTGTCCTCACACACTGCAGCCCGTCTGGCAGCAACACAGGCACAAGCTTCTGCAGCCCTAACACCCCAAAGCTCACCGATGGCTCCTGTGGGCGGTTTCTCACCTTTCTTCACTTGCTCTGGACTCTCCTGTCCATCAGGAAGCAGGAACAGTTCCTTTACAACCTGGTTTTGAAATACCCCTAAAGCAACTATCGCAGCCCTGCTTTGCAATCATGAGGGCTAGGAAACTGGTGAGAAGCAAAAGGTTTTCCAAACTCTGCTGTATGACTACCTACACCCAAGGACTCCACACAGAAAGGAAGAACAACAGTTACAAATATTATTTTGTCATGTGAAAAGACCTCTCAGAACAGCTGGATACTAATTATACTGTAGTTAGAAACTCAAAAAAAAAAAATCAAGATTTACAGAGAGGAGAAAGGGTAAGAAATTAAAATAATAAACCAATGAAGTGCTTAAATTTTCAACCAGCTGTAACATTACGAGGGGCATGCAGCAATGGTCCCTTCTGCTATATGCCTGAATAGAAGAAAATATGAATTGGACAGAAAGAATCATTTGGTTTTCATTGTTCAAGGACATTTTCATGACCTTATGAGCTCAGAACTTTTCTGTGTGAATGCTGCCAAGCCCGTTGCAAAAAACATGAATTTTTTGGAACGCTGGAAGAGAGCCATTGGAGACAAGCGGCTTGCTAGGCTGATCTAAATAGTTAAAAAGGATTTAGTGAAAACCTTTCTTTACTGGGCAGCAGAAATGTTACAAATATTACCATTTTATTTTCATATACAGTAGGACAGCTACTGCTAATGCATTTGCAGTAATCTCATCCTGTCCAGCTTTAAGGCTTCAGGGTAGGACTGGCGTTTGAGAAACCTCGATGCCTTGTTCTGTGTTTGTGAGCAAGCCAAAAGCATAACCATAAAAGTAAAAATGGCAGAGGAAGGATTAAAAAAAAAAAAAAAAAAGCCACCAAACTAACACGCAACGTTTTTTTAACTCGCTGGCTCGTTTCTGGTGTTCATTGTACTGTTTGGCATACGGATAGAGGAACCCAGGGAGCCCAGTTTGCAGGGTCAGAGACACCCCCGGCCATGCCCTCCCGGGGCAGGGCAGGGAAGCGGGAGGTCTGCAGGCAGCCCCCAGGTCTGCAGCGGGGCTCCTCCTTCCGCACCCTCCGTCCAGGCCAGCGGCGCGGGGAAGCCCTGCGGGATATTTACTGCTGGGAGGCTGCTCCGCTCCCGCTGCCCGAACACGATGGAGAGCTGGAGCCAGTGTGGGAAACTTTTCTCTTTAGGAAAGGATTCTCGCAAAGTGGTGGGACGGCTCTTCCTAACATCCCGGAAGCCCGAGGGGGTTTCGTTAGGAATTAAGGACTGCTCCAAGGCACACAAGAGCAGCCAGTTTCACTCAGCCCTCCTTGAACAGCAGGATCCTTCACAAGGCAGCAATCACCAGGCCAGAGCTAACAGCAAACTTGCACGTAACCTAAACAAAGGAGGGAAAGCACCTCCCAGCCCTGGAAACGGCTCCTGGACAAACCCCGTACCGTTTTCTGACTGCCACCAGAGCTTCAGGCGATTTGGAGCGAACGTGGTGACGACATTTTCAATGCGATGACTGTCAGGATTGAGAGTATCGTGGAAGGGATCCTCGGAGTCACATATGAAACATTTTTTGTCCTCCTGAAACAACAAAATAATCAGCATTACTGATTTTATCCGTGGGGCAATCGTCGTTTCCTGCAGATAAGAGTATTTTCCATCCATATCACATTCCACTCATTTTGCCTGCAGGAGTCATCAAAGGTATTTTTTTTGTTGAAAGGATAAGTGTGTTTGACTTTATGAATTAATGCAAATTGCCAAATGGAAAATATGCCAGGAATTCCATAAACTTTCTTTTTAGGAGAAGTGTGTTTTCTATCGAAGTTGCAGTTTCAGGAAATCTCTTCCAGCGCATGTATTCGCCAGCAGAAGTCAGAACCAAAGGCTGCATCTACAGAAAACTGCTGAATTGCTTCTGTACAAATGTACATGTGCAAAACTGCATCTTCAGTAACCTGTGTGAAATAATGCTAGCTTTTGGGAGCTAGCCTGAAGATGTCAGCTCTCTGCATTAGTGAGGCTCAGCGCACGCCAAGGGGCCATCAGTGATTTAGTGACCGAGCCCTTTTAGCGCAGGGTTAACTTTACTCTGAACCCAGCTTGCCAAGTTCCCACCTAAACCTTGCAACTTCACCTGGGACTGCAACCCCAAGCTACGCACATAAACCCGGTTTGCACACACGACAAGGTGTGTCCATAAACACCAGCTGGGTGCCAGGCCGTGTGCTGCTTGGGAAAGCCGGACACTTCTTCATCAGGAGGACAAAAACCCATCATGACTATAACGACAAATAATGCTATTTTTGCATTGTCCTGGTGCCTAAACCCACCAATTACCAATTTTGCAAGGCAGGATGTGAATTGAACCAAAAGAGAGGGTTCCTGCCCAAACCACCTCCCGGTTTGGCAGACTGGAGGGGGCAGAGGAGGGAGAGGAGCTCATTGCATCGCAGCAGTGAGCCCCAGCACACCAGGAACTCGTCACTGTCAAAAGCTCCACAGGCACCACTCCCCCAGCAGATCTACAGAGACAAATGCGGTGCTTTATCGGCCGAGAACACGAGAGCTGGCAGGTCTGCACCACGCAGGCTTTCCATCACACAGGTTTCGGCTCCAGCGGCCCCCCCCCCCCACCCCCCGCCTCCCGCCACGCCTCGCTCCTGCTCCCACCAAAACCGAACGCCGGCAGGCGCAGCCCTGCGACGCGCCCCGTGCAGCCAAGTCCCCTGCTATCAAGGGGATCCTTGGCGCCTTCCCACCATTCCTTCAACACCACCTGACAGTTCAGAAGGAACCGGGGACACCCCAAACGCTGCGTGAGGGGCTGTGAGACCAGCAACGAGGGCCCACGCGAACCTCCGAAGCAATGATTTTGCCACGGCACTTCAGCGTTATTTTGAGACGAGGGCACGCAACAAAGTGCCTTCGTTATCTTGCTCTACCAGAGACGCTACCGTCGTCGAACTCAACCCCGGCACACTCCGAAAACGCCCCGG